CATCTCCGGAATCTCGGCCCGGATCGCTGCAGCCACCTCCTCGTGAATCATCTGACGAAGCTCCTCGTCACTCACACCACTCATCCTAGGTCTGTGGCGTGGCCCAACCATAATGCCTCTGAAATACAACATAAAAATATCAGAGACTCCATCGAGCATAACCGCACTTGATAACGCAACCCTACTCGGCCTCCGATACCCAAAGGATTCTTACTTGAGTTGCCCACTGACCCAGTGTCTTCAGTAGTACGGGCCCAATACTACCGACTACACCGCATCAGCATTCACCCCAAGTCCTCCTCCCTGGACCCCAGATCACGAGTACTTTATTCTTTCTATGCACTGGCTACCTACTCGCTCTCAAAGTATCTCATAGCAGCAGGTTCCCCTAAACTAAGGCATCACAAATCAGGCCACTCTGGTCCTAATATGAATACCTAATCTACTAGCATGCATATCATATCATAACATATCTCATAACACATATTGTAAGAGTATTATGGGGATTTTACCATTCGGGCGCTGACTGACCGTACACACTGCTTCTCCTTTGGTTATTACGAAATCTCTTATAAATATTTTATACTCTTATTAATTGAAAATTTTCCTCAAATCCCCGGTTTGAGTTCAGTTACGCCCGAAGGTGCATCCGAATCCCTCAAACCAAGGCTCTGATACCAACTTGTAACAACGTAAATTTTCAGAACAAATTTTCATTTTTGCGAACATCAAAACCATCATTTAATATTCTGAAACCACATGTGTAAAAAATGTTATTATAACAAAATACATCCCATGATCATAAAACAGTGCCTTCGTCAGTGTGTACAAATCATGTTGGCGCCTTCCCACGGTCCTCGCTAGTACCTGAAACACATAACACAACAACTGTAAGCATAAATGCTTAGTGAGTTCCCCAAAATACTACTTACGCACATACGCCTTTCCAGGCCCTGACCTTCCGGTCCATGTGTCTCAGGGGACTTCCATCCCGACTCGGTAAACCGTCCAGTCCTACCTGCGTCAACCTTACGGTCCACATCACAACGCCTTCCGGCCCATAACATATACGCCTTCCGGCCCATAACATAATGTCTTCCGGCCCATATCAAGCATATCATACATAGCACATATAAACAATTAACTTATCATATACAATGCATATAACTCATAACATATCCGACCTTCCGGTCACACAATAAAACCCTTCCGGGTACAGTATAGTGAGAAAACTCACCTCATGGAAAGTCTAGAATCTCGCGTACTCGCTATCTCCAAATCCCAACGAAGACTCAACCTCGCCTAATCATAACGAATATTATTTTAATTAATATATACTTCCACAACTAGACTTTACCCCTTATCATCATTCATCAGAGGGTAAAAGACCATTTTACCCTTCCTTGACTCAAAGTCCACATGTTGACCAAAACCCTAAAAGTCAACAAAAGTCAACCTTCCAGTACGCGGGGCGTACATCGCCAACCCAGAAGTCGGGATCTCCACCCAGTACGCTGCGAATACTGGGAGTTACGCCCAGCGTAGTCCGTCAGATCGAACATTCTTCATTTCCGGTCTTACTCGGTTAAGCCATTACTTCAATTTCTAGATCCGGCTTTATTTAAGCATCCTTACTCATAAAGTTGAAACCTTTAAGCCTTGGCATGGCTGTAAAGGCTCTTACACTCCTTAACACCTTTCCATTTCAACTCAAGGATATAGATCTCATGCATGGCCAAACATTCACGTCCAAGATTATATTTTTATGAATCTACAACTCAAATGTACCATAAATATGATGGATCTAAGCTAATGGAGACCATTTGCTCATAAAGTCTCCACCTTTGGGACCAAAACCCTAGAAAATGGTCCATAAAGCATACCACAAGATCTACAAGTCAAGATCCGAACTTTTTACCTTAGAATGAAGCTCCAACCTTTGCAAATCCAGGATCTACACTTGAACACCAACTTCTAGCCTTCCCAATGGACTCTTCTTCTCCTTTTCTACCTTGAAATGAGACCACCAAGCTTTAAACACTCACAAATGGGCTAGGAACGAATAAACACTCTCTTAGGGTTTCTTTCTGAGGGATGGTGGCTGAGGAGTCGAGCCAACACATTCCTTTTATAGCCAACGCAACAATTAGGGTTTTTGATTCAAGATCGATTACGCCCAGCGTAACCCTGGGTACGCCCAGCATACCCAAGGGAGAACGCGTTTAAATGAAGCGCGCGAGCACGCGCAACGTACTCCTTGTACGCCCAGCGTACTTGCCCAACATAAAAGCCTTAAAATCACAACAATTAAAGGTGAAGGCTAAATAAAAGAGTACCTGGATTTTGGGCTGTTACAGATAGGATCCTTTACATATTAATTTTTTTTCCTTTTTATTTAAAATAGTAGAAAACTTTCATAAATGGTCCATAGGTATTGAAATGACAAAAATGCCCCTCACTTAACAGTAGAAAGTTGATGGAGTTAGGCGGAAGGACTAAACATTAAAAGTTTTGAAACCACAGAGACCATCCATAAGGTTTTTTAAGATTAGGGACCAAACTTCAGATTTTATGAAACCATAGGGACCATTTCTGAAGTTTTGTCTTTATTTTTTTATTTCTTTTTGTGGCTCTCAAACAAAAAAGGTGTACACAAGAGAGTTAAGGTTTGTAAAATTGCTACGTTATTTACATATTAAAGTGTTTGTTAATATATTATTGCACTACTAGAAAACATGGCGTTTTCCTACGGATAATAGTTACGGAAAACTTCCGTAGCTAATTAGCTACGGAATTGCTACGGATCGGCTACAGAATGGGATGCCCTAATCTAGTAACGGAATAGCTATGAAATAGCTACGCAAATAGCTACGGATGCTACTCCGTAGCTAATTAGCTACGAAATAGCTAAAGATGCTAATCCGTAGCTAATTAGCTACGGAATGACTACGGAATACCTACAGATACTAATTAGCTACGGATTAGCAACAGAATATGCTTTCCGTTTGAATTCCTTAGCTAAGTAGCTACGGATTTTTCTTATTTTTTGATTTTTCGGTCACCAAACATCGTTTTTTTTCGTTTTGTTTTTTTCACACCTCTACCCTACATGATTAAATATATTTTCACCAACTTATAGCTATTCATATCGTTCATAAAGTCGTGTGCCCATTCGGATCAAGTACTTGTTTCACAGTTTAACATGGTAATGCATATACTTTTCACCAACTTGTGATGGATTATGTTTGTATATGTATATTTATATACATGAATGAGTTGTGGTATAAGTGTACGTGTATATGTGTATGTATACGTGTTTGTGAGATGTATGTGAACGTTATCAAAAACATTATAGTGTTAAACCACTAAACAAGTAATGGATCCCGTATGTGCACACAACTTTATAAATGATATTAATAGCTATAAGTTGGTGAAAATATAGATAATTATGTATAATAGAGGTCTGAAAAAAACGGAGCGAAAAAAACAAAGTTTGGTGCACGAAAAATAAAAAATAAGAAAATTCCGTAGCTAATTAGCTACAGATGTTTATTATTTTTTATTTTTCGGGCACCAAACTTCGTTTTTTTTCGTTCCGTTTTTTTCAGACCTCTATTATACATGATTATCTATATTTTTACCAACTTATAATGTATTAGACAATGTTAGTAATATGTATTTGTATTTGATATTTTTTTAGGTTTATTAGTTTTATTGTAAGGTTGTTTGTTTTGTGGTTGGGTTTCAATATTATTATAAAATGTAATGAGATTCTTTTTAGTATTTTTGGACAGAAAAAACGGGATGTTTTTATAATTTTTTGCTGTTTTTTATTTAAATAAAAAGTAATTACCTACGGAAAATCCGTAGGTAATATGAGTCGTAGGAAATCTGTAGGTAATAAACTCAATGTTAGTCAAAGTGGGCTCCGTCAGTAATTTGTAACAAATCCGTAGCTATGTATTTTCGTAGCAATTCCGTAGGAAACTAGTCAACTTTAATCAAACTTGACTCCCGTCAGTAATCCGTAGGCATTCCGTAGCAATTTGTGCCTGTAGCTAATCTGTAGGTATTATACCTACAGAATAGATCTGTAGCTAGTCCGTAGCAAATCTGTAAGTATAAATTTCCCACGGGCATTTATGCTACATGATATTTTCCATAGCAAATCCGTAGGTATTGCCTTATACCTACCGAATACCTACGGATTGTACCGTAGCTATTGCCCTAGTTTCTAGTAGTGTTGGTATAATATTATAACTACTAACTATGGACAATTTACAAAGAGAGAACCATTACATCTATCTTAAACTAATCCGGAAAGATGGACAGTGACATACTATCACATACGCGATTGAAAGACAATATTTTTATAGAATACTTCCAAATTTAATTAAAAAAAAAGATATATATTTTTCAATCGACTAACTTATACAACCAAAAATCTTCAATCTTAGTCAAAGAGAGGATTTGAACTTAATCAATTCAATAAATCAAGGCCACCTTTTTAACCGCTTCAATACTGTCATGCCATGACATTGATCTTCTGGTCATTTAAAAGGGGGCTCATCCCCTATTTTTCCACTTTTCACATATCAACTTATAATGTTTTCAGTATTTGCCATCAAATTTGTGACAAAGAAAGGAAAAGACCAAAATACTGATCTTTTTTTTCTTTCTTTCTTGTATTTAGTCTTTCTTTTTTTTTTTTTTTAATTTTTAAATGCCAAAATTCTTTTTTATTTGGCTCTATTTGTTGAATTTTCAGCTTTACATTTTATTGGTTCCCCTTCACCATTACCCACAGGCCCCAGCCATGGTGATTATCTGGTTATGTTTGTACGTTGAAATTACTTACTCACGGTCTCTCTCTCTTTCTCTCTCTTTATATATATATATATATATATATATATATATATATATATATATATATATATATATATATATAATGAACATTGGATGTCCATAAACAATTATAAAATAAACCCCCCTTTTCATTCATGGCTTCATACATGAAATACTTAAAGTTCTTGCAAACCATCTTCTTTCTATACGTGTTGGTGACAGTGAAGAATGTCACTGGATCATCAGTAAGCCATGATGAAGAATGCTCAGCCTTGTTTCAGTTTAAGCAAACCATAATTCATCAAGATGATGCTGCTTGTGCTGCTCATGGTTCTCAAGTCCTCCATTCATGGAACACTAGTTTTGATTGTTGTTCGTGGGAGGGGGTGGCGTGCAGCAATGACCGTGATCAGTACTATGGTCAAGTGATGGGTCTTGACTTGAGCCAGAGGTCTCTTTGTGGGCGTATCAACTCCAACAGCACCCTCTTCAACCTTGTTCATCTTCAGAGACTCAACCTTTCTGGGAACGACTTTGGTGAATCTGAAATCCCTTCTGAGATTGGTCGTCTAAAGCAATTAAGAAGCCTCGATCTCTCTTATTCTGGGTTTAGTGGCCAAATCCCGACTGAAATCTTGCAGCTGTTTCAGTTGTCTTCTTTAGATCTGTCATGGAATTCACTAAAGCTTCACAATCCTAGCCTCAAGGATCTAGTGGAAAACTTTACAGCGCTTGAAGAACTCCATCTCTCTGGTGTTGACATAAGTTCTTCTGTACCTCATTTCTTGGCCAACTTTTCTTCTTTGAAGTCACTCAAGCTAAGAGATTGTTCGCTTGGGAATGAATTCCCTGCAGCCATACTTGAGCTGCCAAAGTTGCAAGTTCTTAACTTGGCAGACAATACCAACCTCGCTGGTTCCTTTCCAGAATTTCATGGCAAAAGTTTACTAAAAGAGGTGATACTACGTGGCACAGGTTTCTTTGGGGTTGTACCGGAATCCCTTAGCCACCTTAACCATCTGACTGTCTTGTCCCTTAATGATTGCTATTTCTCGGGGCGCATTCCACGTTCATTCTCTAACATGACGCAACTCACTTACTTGGGTCTTGGTGAAAATCACTTCACAGGCTCAGTTCCTTCATTGGCAAGTCTTTTGAAGCTCGATCTTTTGGAACTTAATGGTAACAGATTTGAGAAAGGACGCTTTCCCAATTGGCTTGGAAAGCTGACTAAACTTAGTGAACTCTATCTGTCTGATATGAACATAAATGGAGAAATCCCACTCTTTCTATCCAACCTAACCAAACTTAGTGAGGTAGGAATGCCAAGAAATTCTCTTACCGGTGGTATACCATCCTGGTTGTTCAACCTCACCCAACTAACATTTTTAAATCTTCAGATGAATCAATTGCAAGGACCAATTCCAAACACATTTTCCAACTTCAAAAGTCTTGAGTATCTTCACCTAGGTGGAAACAATTTCAGTGGTAGGGTAGAACTCGACATGTTCCTAGGACTCAACAAACTCCAAGTACTCTTTTTAGGTTATAACAGGATATCATTAGTAACCACCAACAACTACACCAATACCACTCTACCAGAATTTGAGTGGTTAGAACTGTCATCATGCAACTTGAAGGAATTTCCTGCCTTTTTGCGCTTCCAAAATAAATTGACTGCCTTACATCTTGACAGCAACAACATTGATGGCCTGGTACCTGTGTGGATCTGGAACAACAGCCGGGAAACATTAGAGTTGATTAACCTTTCAGGCAACTCCATCACTGGCTTTGATCAGCATCCTCATTTTCTCCCATTGACAAATTTACAAGTATTTTTTATTGAAAACAATCAGCTACGAGGACAACTACCAATTCCACCACAATCCACAGTTGTTTATCTAGTCTCACATAATAATCTGACTGGAGAAATACCACCATCGATATGTGAACTGAAATCTCTTCAAATATTAGATTTGTCTTTTAACAACATGAGCGGAACACTTCCTTCATGTTTGGGTATCTTAAGCAATTCGTTAGTATATTTAGATCTGAGACGAAATAATTTCCAAGGCAAAATGATGAATGGTTTTATGCCTGGAAGCTTGCTGGAAAACCTTGATTTGAGTGAAAATAGATTTACGGGTCAGCTGCCAAGATCATTGATGAATTGTATCAATTTAGAGTTTCTTTCTCTTGGAGATAACGCTTTTCATGACGTCTTTCCTTCTTGGCTGGGAACTCTTTCCAAGCTGCAAGTTCTGGTTTTGCGCTCCAACAAACTTTATGGTCCAATTCAAGGTTCCTCACAGTTCCCTAAGTTGCGGATCATAGACCTCTCTAACAACAATTTCAGTGGTCAGTTGCACCAAAACCACTTCCAAACATGGCATGCCATGAGCTCCAACCATCTTGGTGTTTCATCTGTTATGGAATCAAATATATCCTCCAAACACGTCCATACAAATTGGCCTTACACCGTGACATTAACACACAAAGGTGTCAGAACAGAGTACCCACATATTTTAACCATAGATATGTCCATTGATCTCTCTTGTAACCATTTTGAAGGAGAAATCCCACAATCACTCCAACATCTTCGAGGCCTTCAATCGCTCAATCTTTCCAACAATCATTTTACTGGACGTATCTTGCCATCTTTAAGGAACCTAACAAATCTTGAAGCTTTGGATCTCTCTCGAAACAACCTATCTGGGGAAATTCCTCAACAGTTGGTGCAACTCGGATTCCTTTCCATCTTCAATGTGTCATTCAACCATCTTCAGGGGCGTATCCCACAAGGAAAACAATTTGATACATTTGACAACAGCTCCTACATCGGGAATCCCCGATTGTGTGGACGACCTTTATCCAAGGAATGTCAAGATCATCCAAAGGTGCCATCAAGACTTCCACCAACAACCAGTGTGTCTGAATCTCTCTTCCCATGTGAAAGTATTGATTGGACTATCATATCCTGTGGATTTGGAAGTGGGTTGTCTATTGGGATTTTTATCGGAAACTTTCTGCATACAAGGTATAGTGATCGATTCACAAAGAGGAGGACAGATGGGTAAGGCCACTTCTAACATGAGGAGAAACCAAGGTACATTAATTCATTAAATAACTTGTAGAAAATTTTCTAGATAACAGTCTGTTTTGTGCTTGTGGTCTCAACAAAATGGAAAATGTTTTCTGCCTGTCATCCGAAAAAGTATAATGCTTATATACTTTCTAAACTAATATTTTAAAAGGAAAGCAATCGTAACAACATCTTAGTGAGATTAACTATCATACATCTCAACTTTATATTACCACTTGCGTTTTTATCATTTATCAAAACCTTTCAACTATTTTATACGTCAAGTCAAATATTTATTTTAGCAAAGAATGTCTTATTAACATATTTAACTTAAAAATATTAAAGAATATATCCTTTTATTTTAGCTTGGATACGTTACGTGTCAAGTCCAGTAGTTATTTGATGCTGCTCTATGTTTAAGCATGGTATTTGATTATAATAAGTTCAACACAATATTATCTACAAGAAGAATGTTAGTTTTTCGAGTTATGATGTAGTGCATGCTTAAAGTAGTTTGTATGTAATCAATAATATAACCATGGTTCATTTTACTATTGAGGAAGAAGTATTTTCTATAGATAGAAAACTGTGAACTAACCAGCAGAAGATTTATCTCAGGAGGTGTCATAGCTTAAAGTTCAAAGGGCGTAGAGAAGTTGAAGAAAACATTCAAGGGATTCAGTGTTTGTTTTACCATGTAGTATGTGTATATTACTTTAAGATTTTGTTTGTTGCAATTAGATTTCTTTGAGTAGACTTTCACTGTAACATTTTTGATGTATCATACAGTTCCATTGTTTAAGTTTACTATTTATGGTGGCATGAACATAGACTCTTATGTAAGCTATTGGTAAGTAGTCGCAACCTCAACCTTAGATTTGGGGTTGTGATAGTATGAAATTCAAGTATATTATATGTTTTTGAATAAAATAAGTGAATTTCATTATTAGTATAAAATGTAAAAAGATCCAGTTGAATTTCATCGAATACCTGGTGGGCGGTGGCCAGAACTTCATCCATAACCGTGAACATCTTAGTTCCACCATCCGTTTTATGAAAAGTATGAATTTCGACCCTGAAAAGGACTTTTATGTTTTTCAATCTCCAAAATAAAGTTTTGCTGAGCTTTTCATATTCTTATGAATAAATTATTATTCAAATTAACTTATTTTCATATACAACAATTAAGATTGTCACCAGTTATACTTTATCAATACAATGATTTTGTGATCTGAATTGCATTTAAAAAAAAAAAAAAAAAAAAAGTTGATGAACCACTAAAAACCTTGATTTGTGATTTTGAAATATATCTAAAAAAGCAGATGAACCATTTAATACCATGATTTGAGATTTTAAAAATATCTAAAAAAGAAACAGAGACACTATCACAGAAGTTGGGATGATTTTACATCCACGTTCATTGACCATTGCTACATTTAATAGATTAAGAAAGATGTTGAAGTATTAACAGATTCCATACCTGTGAAAATTATGAATTTCGAATCATAAAATAAAATATGGGTGTTTTTTTTTTTTTTTTTTTTTTTTTTTTTTTTTTTTACCTTAAATAGAGCACACACAAAACACACTCATCAAGTGAAGTTGTTGCATTAAGCTGGTCAATTACATTTCATTACAACACAATACTCGCTTCTTGTATTTTCACCACAAGACTTTAATGTTATAGAAAATTAATTTAATAAGAAATTAAACATATACCTAATAACATATTTGAATCCTCGACTTTGAAATGAAAAAAGGTTTCAATTTTGGATCAAACATGGTGAAATTAAAAAAGAACAGCGACCATATTTGTATATTTACACTAAAAGTTATAACATTTATTAAAAAATAAGAGAAATTTATAAAATAGAACTATGTGGTATACAAGTTTTGGTCCAAGGGTAAAATAGTCATTTAAAACGAATTAATGATCTAGGATTCCAGTGACCAAAACAGATATAAAGCCTTGTAATAAGGATTAGAATTACAAAAGAAACATTTTGGGACTAAAAACATAAAAAGTGCTAAACTCAGGGATGAAAACTGTGACCTACTAAAAGTTGGGACTCAATGAGGGAAACTTCCCACCAGGTCCAGGATATGTGAGATTACCACTACAGCCATGGACACTTTCCACCACCCAACCCTCCGATTTAGGTCATTTCCGCACTTTCCTTAAGCATTGAGGACAATGCTTGTTCTTAAGCTTAGGGTGAGACATTTCCTTTTACTTTTACTTTTTTCATGCATTTTTTAATCTAATTTGCATTCATTTTGTTTTATTTATTTTTTTATAAAATTCCAAAAAGATTTTATTTTCTTTTATTCTACTTTCTATTTTTGCATAACACTTAGCTTAGGGCATCAGCATTCATGCATTTTTGTTATATGTTTATTCTCATCCCCTTGGATACCATGGAACCGGTTCAAAGTTATTATATCTTTATTGGTCCAAGATCTTGTTACCATCTCACCCATCGAACCGGGACCACTAGTTGCAGCTTGGGACTTCATACTTGGGATCAGATGATGGAAGCTTAAAGGGGTAAGTGATCATGGTCAAATAGTTTCACGAAGAATCATGCATGCAATACTAGCAACTGTAAGATATGCTATAACAATGGATGTTCATAGCGTTGAGGTCCATACCGCCGAAAGGATCACACTTGATCATGTTTAAACCGTTAGGATGAAGCATTGGTGCTTGTCCCCGAGTAGAATCCATATTCGGTCTCTTTACATCACCATATTCTTTTTGCGATTTACTTAGGATTTTAGAGAGTCTTTTAGCCCACATTAAGGCATTTTCTTTATTTTTGAAAAATCAAAAGTTTGAAAAGGAGCTTGCATATCTATGCTCCACACATGGTCGTTTTCACACTTAGACCATTCAGATTATTATTGTTACTCCCTCGGTTCCATTTACATAATTTTGGGAACCAAATTTTGAGTCAAAAGTGTATTGATAAAAAATAAAATAAAATGGATGCAATAATCTTAGATAGGTGACCGGTTCAATTATTGAACATATTCTCCTACATTTTGGTCGCCCAACGTTTGATATTCATTTATTTATGATTGTCTTATTGTATATAGATCGAGTTGTTTCTTTTCGTAAATTGGTGATGTTAGAGAGACTATTGAGTCGGATACTAAGGGAGGTTTGAGTCAACACTAAATGAACTGACTCCTACAACGGTGCCCGAGCGATAAAACTCAATCACACTTGAGAGTGGCTAACAAACGTGAGATCACGCAACTTTTGTGATAAGAGTGTGCACTTAAAAAAGAAGAGATCCATACGAGCTCGTCCATTTTCTTTCTCCCTACTACATATGTTCTTCATTGTATGTATGTTCCATTAGGGCTGCGACGGACCATCCCTCCTTACTCACCTAGAGGAGTTGTTCTGGCTATGGTTTATGGTCTCATTTTCATCGGATAAAAAAGTAATGAGATAATAACAAGATTAGTTCTGACCATGTTGACTAACAGTGACCAGGTTCCACGGTTCTATCCATTCTTTTTATTTTTCTTAGGATAGTTCATCCCGAGTTCATTTTAGTCTTGTTTTACTTGAGGACAAGTAAGGTTTAAGCTTGGGGTGATTTGATAGCTTCATTTTATTTACTTCTGTTTATAGTTTATTTTAGCACATTTCATTCGCAGTTTAGTTAATTTCCATTCATATTTTCCTTTTTATAATTTTATGACCATTTCGGGTACTTTCTAGTTTCCTGAGCATTATTGCAGATTTTTTGGAGACTAGCGGAGCGGGATTTTTAGGAGCCAATTGGACTTGAAGGGAAATGGGGATTTCGAGCTTGATGGCTATGGAGGTGATTCATGGAGTGGGCCTATCAATTGCTTGAAGGCTTGGAAGATTTGAACTTCAAATTTGCAAGGCGCGAGAGAATTTTAGAGTGTGTGGAGATCGATGATTGGGAGTTTGCAGAAGCTATGAGTGATTTGGAGAGGCAAATTGGGCTCATATTGAAGAAAAATGGGCTAGGAGCTGACTGGGCTCGAATTGGGCCAAGTTGGATATGCTTTGGAGGCCCAAAAACTCAAAGAAACCCATATCAGGCACCACCCGCGCAACAGCACGCGGGTCGCGCAAGGCCATGCAGGGGTAATTTCGGAAATCCATTTGGAAGGCTACTTGAGGAAGGTTGGTGCCCCATCTTTTGGAGACTCCTAGACATCCGATTTTGGAGCATTCTCTCTGGAGTTTTGAAGACTTTTGAAGGCCAAGAACACCTTAAGAACATCATCTTTTTACCTCTTGATTCTTGTTAAATGTTTGATACAATCTTCTCTAACTTTGTTTTCTTGAGTTTAGCCATGCTTGGCTAAACAAATCTTTGTTGACTTTTGTTGAATCCTTTGACCTTTTGTTGAATGTTGAAGAATCCATGAACTTGTTCTTAAATCTTTATGGGAATGTTTTGTGTTTTAACATCTTATCACTACTTGTGTGTTTTTATTCATGAGTTAAATGTGTTTGTGGTGATTAGTTGGCTAATTTCTTGATTAAGTAAAGGATCCTTAAATTAGCAAGCAACAAATGATTTTTGTGTTGTTTTTGCTTCACACAATCAAAAAAATATTTCCTCCAACATGGTAGTGAAAGCATTTGACTCCTCTTGGATTTGGTGACTTTTTGGTTCTTAATGCTAGTTGACTTTCACTAATTACATGCTTAATAGAAATTGTGACTTTGATTAAGGAAACTGTTATGAACTTCTCTAACCATTTCAACAACTAAGAAAAGTCTAGGTAATCTCAAGCTCTTTGGATTACTAAAGCCAAATTGTAACACCCCAAAAGTTTGGAAAGCCAAGAAAAGAAAGAAAACCTCAAGTTTAGGGGAGACTCGGCGAGTCCATGGAGGGACTCGGCGAGTCCGAGCGGGATCCGGGTTGTGGTGAAAGCGACCGACTCGGCGAGTCGGCCAGGGAGACTCGGCGAGTTGGGTCTGAATGGGGAAAACCCTAAACCCGGGAACTTGGAGCCTATTTAAGTGTCTCATTCTCCTTCCTAGGGTTCATTTATTGCCTCTCTACCCCAGAACATCAAATCCTAGCCGCCATTTCCGTTTTTGGAGCTAGATCTTGCCTTGAAGAATGCATTAAGCTTGGAGGAGGAAGAAAGACCTTGGAGGTGCAAGAAGGGATTGTAGATCTGGATTGTGGAGTCATTTCAGACCAAGTGGAGGTAATAAGTTGTTGCTTGGACTCTCTTTTTCATCTAGATCTACTCTTATGTGTAGGTTTTGGCCATTGCTGGTATGATATGTAACCAATTCGAGTTGGAGGTTCAGATCTGAGGTTGCTACCTCAGATCCATGTTGGTTTTGGTCTAGAATCCCCTAAAGTATCAGCCTTTGGTATGTTGAAGAAGCATGTTTGCCATAAACCCGAATTTAGTGTGTTTTGAGCTTAGATCTCTCGATCTACACGTAAAGTTTTCCACTTTACGTGGGGAATAGGCCCTAGAAGTATGGATCTAGGAGTTAGAAGTTCAGTTTGGCTCGAAAAGCCACTGCATGGATTGAGGAATGGATAGACTCGGCGAGTCCTTCGAGTGGACTCGGCGAGTAGCTTGAAGGTGAGGAGGAACTCGACGAGTATGATGAACAACTCGTCGAGTCGGATGAAGATAGGCATGGCCTCGGCGAGTTGGATGAACAACTCGACGAGTTGGTTGAAGATTGTCTAGGACTCGGC